GAGAGGTATTTTAGATACTGTTACAGTAATGCCGTGAAGGGGCATAGCATATTATGTTTAACTTGGTGGCATTGGAACAAGTGGAAAGGCCCAACTAGCTAGTGCTTATCTGTTAACCTGTTGGTTCTGAATCAGTTTCTGAATATCTCAAATGCTCTTAGATACCTAAATTGTTACTGAACAATGCTATGCTATTAAAAAGCTGAAAACTGTCTTCAACACTGCAGTGAAGAATTCATCTTTGAGGCAATGTTTTCCAGAAGTACGAATTTGAACTATTTTGTCTATATGAAATGGTCTGTGCAGATTATTATGGAATGCACAAAATTTGTGCAAAGAAATTGTACTAATACTGGAATTAATGTTCAAAAATTTACAGTGTGAATACTTCCTAGTTGATTAATCAGGAAATTAATGACAAACTGTTGTAAAAGTGGGAAAATCTGTAGAACAATACAGTGTGAAACCAGTGAAAACCATATCCTAATGGTAGTTAATTTTTTTAATGGACAGTTCATTGAAACATACAAGTTCTTAAAGCATCTTTCAAGTGCTTAATTTCTCCTTAATGTTGGGCACCTCATTGAATAATCTCTCATAAGTAACTGACCAGTTCAGATAGCAGCACTATTTCCTATTAATGGTTTTAACTGGATCTTCAGAAATTCTTTATGAACTTTGTTTTAAACCTATGCTAACACTTTCAAAGATTTCAAAATGTTTAGCTATCCTAGTTTTCTGAAAATGCATTTCCAGTAATTATTCTGTGCGTTCAAACTAAATATTTGCTATAAGCAAGAATGAATTTAACTTCAAGATTGCCCTCGTGAGAACTACTGCTTCACAAGTTTTGAAAGTATGCATGACATACTTTCAAATAGCCAAACTTTCAATAGCCAAATCTATTGGCTATTTTAAAAGGCCTTAAGCTCTTACAGGTCAGAGGTTTCCCTGGCTGAAAGATTAACTTCTAAAACAGTAGTCTGAGGCTGACATCGTCATAAGTTGCCCAAGGATGTTATCTCATTGGTTTTTAAATAATGGTGATTATAGTTAGTCATTATGTATGTAACTATACATCTGTGATTTAAATACTGATCATCTTCAGGGCTGATTTAAAAACGGTGTGTGTAATGTCTTTTGCTACTTCCTTCAGATTCGTTCTTAACCAGGTCAATGTTTCCAATGATACCAGTGCCAGGAACTTCACACTAGGTGTTAATCTAGTAGCCCACAAAAGTAGCATCAGTATCAAAACTGAAACACTTTGCATTCCCATCTTTCTTGAAATGCGTTGGCTATTTATACAGGGATTCTCCCTTTTTACCAGGCCATCTTCACTTCAAATTTGTACTTGTAATCCTGTTGTTCTTTCCACTCTGCCTTCCCTTGCTGATAGATGAGTTGAATTTTTGGTGAGGAAATTTGGCCCAGCATGTTTCCTTGAAGCTGACTTTGGGCACAGCAGGGGTCTGTCACTGTTCAACAATGCTCATTAGACCTGCAAAGAACAGATTTGCTCTAACATTCAAGGTATCAGCTGCAAACATGAAAGCAGTGTGGCCAGCAGATTGAGGGAGGTGATTCTGCCCCTCTACTCCACTCTGGTGAGACCCCAACTGGAGTCCTGCATCCAGCTCTGGAGCCCTCAGCACAGGAAAGACATGGACCTGTTGGAGTGGGTCCAGATGATCAGAGGGCTGGAACACCTCTCCTGTGAGGACAGGCTGAGAGAGTTGGGGTTGTTCAGCCTGGAGAAGAGAAGGCTCTGGTGTGGCCTTATAGCAGCCTTCCATTACCTGAAGGGGGCCTACCAGAAAGCTGGAGAAGGACTTTTTACAAGGGCATGTAGTGACAGGACAAGGGGTAATCATTTTAAACTGAGAGTAAATTTAGATTAGATATAAAGAAGAAATTCTTCACTGTGAGAGTGGTGAGGCACTGGCTCAGGTTGCCCAGAGAAGCTGTGGATGCCCCATCCCTGGAAGTGTTCAAGACCAGGTTGGATGTGGCTTTAAGCAACCTGATCTAGTGGAAGGTGTCCCTGCCCATGGCAGGGGGCTTGGAACTAGGTGATCTTTAAGGTCCCTTCCAACCCAAACCATTCTACGATATAACCTATCGTGAGACTAGAGAAATTATTTACTGCCTTGGTTGAGCAATGTGAATGCTTTTCTTTAAATATAAGTCCAATGATATATTAAAAAAATCCAATGATATATTAAAAAAATCCAACGATATATTAAACTTTGGAGAACCATCTGGCCCTGTAAACTGGGCAAACCTGTTGTTCTCTAATACAGTATATATGTAAGGTAATATGAGAGCACTATCTTAGCAACAGCAGGGTCATAATAAAAATAAAGCTTAGTGCAGTAAAAAATTGTAATTGCTACCAGAGGTCTGATTACTTCCTCCCACAAAGGCTAGATGCCATTCTATTAAGGATGTTTGTTCTGTCTTATTCTGCATTTTCTGCTTCTGTTACTACTTGCAGTATTACTCAGCAATGAATTAAAACCATGTTTGTTTAGAAGAGGCCATGTTTGCCCTAATTCCTGAATATTTCTTTTAGACAGTTAGAAACTTGCTTTAACTATAATTGTGTCTACAGAACTGCTAGCTTGGTTACAGATGGGGATGGAGGAGAGCTTTTGGGGACCTTTTATAAATCCAAGGCCTGACTGGGGCTATGAAATCTGCCACATGGAAACTTGCCTGGGGGCAGTTCTCATTGTCTGCCTCTGCTGTGTGTGTAGGCAGCTTCAGACACGTCAATGCTAATTCAGAGTCACTCGGATTCTTACAGGGGAGTGCAAATACTTGCATTGCTGTGATACTGAGGTTACGCAGCTGAACCGCAAAAAGAAGTGTATGATTCTCGTTGGGCTTAATTTGCATGGCAAGCTACCATGGTAACAGCCCTATATGAATTTTAAACTTTTTATATGTGAAATTGGAGAGATGACAGCAGAAAATAATACTTTATCTGTACTGGTTTTAACTCTAACTCACCCTCTAAGTCCAAGACTTTATAAACAGATGAGATCTTACCCATGGAAGTAGCCTTTGAAATCTAGGCCTGGTGTCAAAATTGTATTTATGGTCTTCCATAAACAACACAGCTTGGTCCTGAGAAGAGTTAAAACCACAAAATTAAAGAATCCACGTAACTTCCAGTCACTTTTAAGCACTATGGATTCTTCAATGAATTGACTTGGAAACTAGTCTGTGGTGGTATGTAGCTTCTTGCAGACTTTCTCTGTATAACGTTCATTTGCTTCTGAAATGAGTATGAGAGGACCTGAAATCTCCACACCCACCCCCTTCTACTACAAAAAGAGTCTTCATCCTTGTCTGCCCTCTCACTAAAGCTTCAGGTTTCTTTTGGACTTAGGCAGCTTCAGCTTGTGCTTAAATAGTAAATGCAGAATGCTTTATTCAAGAAAAAATATTTTAACGAAGTTGTTAGCTTGAAAAAGTCTGAACAGAGAACCTCAGTGCAGTTTCATTCCCTGCAGTCTTTGGCATAAGAATAGCTCTAATAGCTAGAACTGGTGCTGCACCCCTTATGTGCCTTCTGCTTTACTTAGTGACTTTCAAATCGCGTATAGCATATGCGATGTTGGACACAGCAAATGTTTGCCTGGGGGGCGGGAATCAATTTTACCAAAAGTTTCTTTTGAGATCTGGAAAGTCTGGTTTG